GGCCCGTTCTGGGTTAAAATTTTACCTATGTTTGCTCGAATTGGAACGGCCCGTTCCCAAAGTGGAACGGCCCGTTCCGGGACCATGAAAATCCAGAATTTTTAAATAATAAATAAATAAATACTTATATATATATATATATCAAATTAAAATAACATATCAATACAATTTAAAACATGATTTTCTTTAAATAATAATTATAACAAAATATCATAATTAATAATATTATACAAAATAATTTTCATAAATGATTATTAATAAAAACCTTTAAAAATTCAATCAAACTCATTTAATTAATCAAAATAATTATAAGGAAATAATCTTCATAAATACCAAAATAAATTATAATTATTTGTAGTATTAGTAGAAAAATTTGGGATGTTACACCCTACTCTATTAACATTCCTAATTATTGGTGAAATTAGTCTTTTGCCTCAATAAACTAAAAGTATTTGTAAATATTCTATATATCTTAAAATATAAATATTAATTTTTTTAGGATGGGTACTTCATAAACTTGAAGTATTTGTCTTTGCCTCAATAATTTTTTTAATTTATATAAAATTTACATATAATTAAATTATAGAATAAATAACAAAGAAAAGAGTAGAGAGGGGACTAATTAGAAGATATCTTATCGAGATTAAGTCGAGTCATACGGATTAAAAGCAACCAAAATTTGATTACGGTATGAAATTGAGGAGTAATGTTGTGGTAGGTACATATCTAAGTTGTTCTATTTTTGACAAAGATATTGGACTTTTCTAGTTTAAATAACAAAATTCGAGAAATTATGTTATATTATAGATTGGCATATAAATTTGTCATTGATCTAACAAATAAAAAAAGATGATCGTGTTGTTAAGTTAGTTCAATATGATCAAATTATTTAAACTGCTCACATATATTGTAAGAGATTTTTTAGTTGAAATATGTGATAACACATAAGTTGTTATGTTTAACACTTGAGAACCTTAATATTTTATGAATTATTTAATTGTTTATTCTTACTCTTCTCTTAATTTGAATTCTTTACAATTTACATATGTAAAATAATTAATTATCATTTTTTTTATGATTTCAAATATTTAGAGAGGTACTGAAAAGTTAACCTAAATATTGAGAGAGAACAACAAATTCTTTAGATTAATTTACCTTCAAATAGAACGATTAAATATTGGTTAAAACATTTGAATAAATAGGAATTCAATGAACGAATCTTTAATATTGAAAATTTCTTTTATAATAAGCTACCTTAAAAACTCTTTTACTCTTGTTTTTTATTTCTCAATTTTATTTTCAATCAATCTTAAATTGACTCTCAAATTCATCTTTTAAATCTCATTTATTTAATTAAATTAAATTTAATATTAATAATTATAAAGTCAAACACGTATTCAATTGATTGTATAATTTATTACAAGGTTATGTGTGTCTAAAGACTTCTGCATCTCATTTTAGAAAATCTGATTCCCTGCTAATTGTCCCGGACTTGACTGTAGCCTTTTTCCAACATAATATTGAATCCGAAAAATAGCATTGCTAAATAACAAAAGCATTTGGAGAGGAAATGTCATTCCATTTCTATCTTCCACCATCATAGAGGCAAACTGCAGGCAGTAGAATGGACAACGATATTAGCTAAAATTAATGTTAAAAACACAAAAGTTGTACGGGTAGGGGCGTTCAACCACCCTCTTATCGGCCGCCGAATGGCCGAACCAGGTGGCCGATTGCCAATCGGTCACCTGGATCGGCTTATCTTTATTAATTATCTTTAATAAATGATTAAGGGTTAATTAGCTGATTAAGAAGTATTACCTAATACGGTAAGTATGTTACAGGGCCCATAAGGTCCAGGGCCCACGATTGTCAGTATAAATAGCTCAGGTCAAAAGGTAACGTCACTGTTCATTAATTACCTCGTTCAGAACACTCGTTCGACCTTCAGAATACAAGAAGATCATTGGTGTATCCTTATACAAGTACAAAAGCCATTTAGGTAATGCCTCTAGAGAATATTTCAATATCAACACAAGTCATGAGAGAATTATCATTTTGTGGTAGAAACAAGGTTTTGCCCGTAATCGCAACGACTCACAATTTCTGCAATAGAATCGCAATAAATTTGCAATACTATTTTATCCCACTTTTTTTGTCAAAAAATATACATAAATTTAAGTCTTAATCTTTCAATCTAATAAGTTTGGTTTCATAAGGTGTTAAAAGAGGGGGGAATTTTGTTGTAAGGATGTCTACTTCCACCAATTCATCCTGTAATTTCATTGTTTAATGGTGAAAATTATCATATTTTGGTCGTTGTTAATATGAAATTTGTTTTAAAATCTCAAGATTTTGGAATGTCGTAATTTCTGAAGCTGATCCACCACAATTGAGAGAAAATTCAACCATTGCACAAATTAAAGTTTATGATGAGGAGGAGAAGCTGAAGAAAGATAAAGTCGTCGCTTGCTTACATGTAGGACTTACAGTATTTTTACTAAAATTATGGACTTGGAAACACGTAAATAAGTGTGGGACAAGATTTAAGATGAATTTAAAGGCAATAGTAAAGTCAAATCTATTAGACTTCTCACATTAAATAAAGAATTTGAATTGATAAAAATGGAGGATAATGAATCTGTCAAAGATTATTCTGACATGTTAATGAATGTTGTGAACTAAATGTGATTTCTTGGTGAAACATCATTTACATATCAAAAGATTTGTTGAAAAAATCATGGTTTCGATATTGAAAGATTTGAAGCCAAGATTTCTACAATTGAAGAGCCTTGTGATTTGAAAAATCTCACAGTTATTGAATTGACCAGCAAGCTTCACGCACAAAGAGTCTCCATTAGAAGTAATGAAGTTGTTGAAGGTGCATTTTGAGCAAAGCACAATGGAAGGAATTTTGGAAAGTCATAGAATTTCAATAAGAACAAAGGAAAAGTTGAAGGTTCTTCGAGAAAAGAAGATTTTGTCTCGTTCTCATTATAAAGAACCAACTATGCTAAAAAAGATTGTTGGTTTAAAGATAAACATCTTTTTCACTATAATTTTTGCAATAAAAATGGTCATAGTGAAAAATATTGCAAATTAAAGAATAATCGGTCTTAACAACAACTAGAAAAATAGTCAAATGTGATTGAAGAAAAAAATGATGATGTAGATGAGTATTTATTTATGGCATCTCAAAAATGCAATCCACATGAATCGAATACTTGGCTTATTGAAAATGGTTGCACTAGTCATATGATAATTGTCAAAGATGTTATTTATATTCTAGAATTGGATCAAAATCTTCTTAATGTTCTACAAATGTTAAAGAATGAGTATGAAATCTCTTTTAAAGAGAATTATTGTTTTATCATGGATGAACATGATTCAGATATTACAAAGATTGAAATGACCAAAAACAGTTTTTATTTGAAATTTGATTTAGTTGAAGATCACCATGTTATTGTTAAAATTGATGAGAGTAATGTTTGACATGAAAGATTTGATCACATTTTTATACAAGATGTATTTGATATGAAAAATTCTAACAAATGGTATTTAAAGACATGAGGAGTTAAATTTAATGACTATGAAGACAATGATTTAGGTCAAGAAATTGATGTGCAGTACAGCTTGATGACCTAGCACTTCATAAATCAAGTTTTGGAGTTCATAATACTAAAGTTTGTGATGTTCATGGAAAATCTCAAGAAAGAATATTAGATTTATGAGATTTTCTTTTATTTAAATTTTGAATAAATTTTAGATAAGATATTTGTTATTATTACAATTTTATTTTCAGTTATTCAATATAATTTTAACAAATAAAATTATTTTTAGTTGAGATTTATTAAGAATTTTAAATTGATTGTAAGTTTATACACAAAAATCTTCTTTTATAATTTTTTTATGGTAATTTAATTATAATTTTTTAATTTCAATTTATTTGCAAGATCCAATTTTTCTACATTTTTACAAAATATTTCCAACATTAATTTGAACTTATTATTTATTAAAAATAAAATAGAAAAGGAAAAAATAACCGCTAAAAATTTCTCACATGTAGCGACTAAATCAATTATGTAACTGCCAAAAATGAATTGTAAAAAATCAATTATTATCGTTAATTAAGATTTCTCTATGATATAATATAAATATATACCTTTCCTTAATGATTTAGATTATGTTATCATTAATTGGATTATAAATACCCTTCATCCTTCAAGTATTTCACAAAGGGAACGCTTCTTGTTTAATTGCTCCAAATTTTCTAGCTGACATCGAGATCTTTAATTTCTACATTTTCTCCTTAAGCCAAACAATATGGATCCACCACTTTGTGCTAATGGCTGTGGCTTCTATGGTTCTGCTGCCAACAAGAACCTTTGTTCAAAGTGTTACGGAGATTATCTCAAAGGAAAATTGATCAAATCAAAGGATGACAAGAACTTGAATGAGAAAGTTATTGTTCTTGATCATTCATCTAGTTGTCGTAAACCGTGTGATTGTTCTGAAGAATCTATGAGTGAGGGTATGGCTAATGTTTGTCTAACGGAAGATGGAAGCATGAGTGAGAAGAAAAAGAGGTGCAAGAGCTGCAACAAAAAGGTTGGACTAATAGGGTTCGAGTGTCGTTGTGGGGATGTGTTTTGTGGAAGACATAGATACCCAGAACACCATGCATGCAAAGTTGATTTCAAGCAAATTGCTCGTCAGGCTTTGATTAAACAAAATCCACTGTGTAATGGCGATAAGTTAGAAGATAGAATTTAGGATAAATATATAGGAATTATTTATCAACGTATCATATCATGAATTGTAAATGATGCTATTCATTATGAATTTCTTACTCATTGTTTGTTATTAACATTGCTTATTTGCTTTCTTCCTGACAAAAGAAAAATATTCTTATAATTTGATGGATTGGAGCAGTAGGTAGCGTCGTGCATGCACTCACGTATTGCGAGTTGTAACAATGATATATTTAGAGGAGAATTTTGTGTTCAATTTTTATCCTACGAGAAATCATAATATTATGGATAGGATGATAAAAAATACATCCCGACAAATATTCATAGATAAGATTTGTTATAAATTTTAAATGATAAGTAAATGGGTACTATTTTAATAATATATAGGATGAAGATCGATCATAAGATATTCATACTTATGAGTATTTACACTTCAAAAATATTAAAAATAATTTAATTATATATAAAGTAATTTGATTTAATTTATTTTTACACTAAATATATGCATCATAATTACTTATTTTTATTATAAATATGTTATAAAATTATTTTTCATATATATACATTTAAAATTATTTATTTTTTATCTGCAGAATTTAAAATTTTTAATTATAATTTTGTTTACTCAATAAAAAAATATGTTTATTTTATACAATTAGAATTTCAATAAATAAATATGTTTAAATATATGTAAATAGCTCTTAAAAAATAATCTCATTTTCTAATTTATATGTAGAGAGGATATAATATTAAAAATTAACTAAAATTTATTCTATAATTTACACAATATAAATGTTTGTTTTATATAGTTATGACTGATAATAAATAAATATTTTAAATATTAAAATTATAATATAATTAAAATTTATAATGAATAAATATTTTAAGAAATCCTGAATGTGTTGGTGATAAGTTAGTACATAGGATTTAGGATACATAGATAAGTGTTATCAACGTATTATTATGAATTTATTATTCATTGTTTGTTATTGACGTCGCTTCCTTTTTTTATCAATTTGTCTATATTTTGTAAATGGTTTCTTCTTATTGTTTACTTGTAATATAAAAGTAAATGGATCACAAATGAGACGGTAAACAAAATGACATTTACTGTTATTGCTTGATTTTTGGCGTCACGATATTTAAAGTTTCAAATAATCATGACTGTTTTAATTTTTTTTATTTGGGTACCATTTCACTAGTCAAACTTAGTGCCTATTTTTGCATCGGCTTATGATACCACTATTGTTTCTTTCTTTGAAGAATGAGTGTATAAGTTAGCCACAAGATAATATGTGTGTATATGCTCCCATACGCGTGTATCAGATATTAGACACATTTCATGTGTTTCAACCACTAAACACTTGTTTAACCACTATCTCAATCAATTCTTGTGTAATAAGTAATCAAAATTTTCAATTTACGATAAAAAATTGATAAATCTATTTTGGGTGCTTCGATCAACAATCAATTGTGCTGGGTAACCTTAATGCATAAGTGAGGTTAAATTCATTTTGCACTTGGTTGATGACTTTATATCTACTTTATAATATAGTTTTACCAACAACCACAGTAAAACTTCCGTATAGCTTTCATCATTTCACGTTTCCTAATCCTACGTGCTTCTTTTGCTTTTACTGCGAAACCAAACACGTTTAAATACTATCATTGACGCAATTGCGAACATTTGCAACTTTTATGTCATGCAACCAAACCTACTTTGTTCAAGTACTCCAAAGGTAAACAGTAACAAAGGAGAATAAATTTATTGCCGGCTAAAGTTCAACTTAAAAGATTAAAAAAAAAGGCTTAAATATATCTTTAGTCCCTCAAATTAAAGATAAATTTATTTTTGATCCCTCAAATTTAAAACTGCTATTTTTAGTCCTTGTAATTTAAAAAAATCTTGTTTTAATCCCTTAAGTCACCAATAACATATTTAAAAGTGACTAATTAAGACAATTATGAAATATTAATCAAATTTAATGTGATATTTTTACTAATAGAAATACTAATAGATAGATTTTATACAATAATGTTTGATAATTTTCTTAACAAAATTTGAATATAAGGACTAAAATAAATTTTTTTGAAATTACAGGGACTAAAAACAACAATTTTAAATTTGAGAGACCAAAAACAGATTTACCTTAAATTTGAGGGACCAAAAACAGATTTAACAAAAAAAAAAAAAAAACTGAAACGCGAAATCATCAAACAGAAATCTTTTGGAAAAAGATTCCATGATAGAAATATTTATATATATATATATATATATAATATTTATATATGTATATATATATATAAATTAATCACTTATACACTGCCAATGTAAACTGACAACCAATTATTTCCTTTAATTGTGTCATATCACTATAAACAGATTTACTTTTAACAGTGATATGATACAATTAAAGGATATAATTAGTTACCAGTGTAAAAAAACTTTACACTGACAGTGTATAAATGATTAATTAATTAATTATATATATATATATATCATCCCATAGTTGAAACTTGGAAGAGGTATTTTATAACACCTCTGGGTCTCAGCTGCTTCACAGACCATTTTAGTTATCAAAGAAAGAGATCAGCTGGAATACACTTAGTTATTTTGTTACATAAAATGATTTTGTTAACGAAATGAGAAATATTTTTGTTAACCAAAGAAAAGTTTGTCCATCAAACTAAATTGTACGATGATTTCACTTTATTGAGTTCCTACAAGTTCTGACCAGAATTTCCCAGTCAATAAGCAGGATATGAACATTGTCCTTACCACTACTCTAATATGTCCCACACCATGAGGCCTAAGCCTAACAAGCAAGGCTGAATGATCTCATGGTGTGGAAATCCACCCAGAAGCATGTCTGGTTGATACTTATTGAAGGAAAAAACAGATGGAGAAGGTTGAAATTGAGAATGCCTGGCTCCCTTATGAATGTACACCTATTGTCTTCAATGTTACATTGAGGATTAGAATGGCTGAGGATGGATGGAAACCGGTGTTGATGAGGGGGAAATGTAGGTTCTGCTGTAGAAACCGTGGCTTCTTGGGGGTGAGAATGGAAGGAGATGGAAGAGCATGATTGAAACCAGTTCAAGCAACAAGGGGTTTACACACTTGACGTTCTGGTGCAAATCAGGTTCACTAATACCACCTGAAACATGAAATGAAGAAATTTAGAGCAATCTAGATAATTTTTTTAAGAAAACTTCAAGCTAAATGACAGCTCTTTTTTTTTCGGAAGAAAAAAGTAGAACTGTGGCTCAAATATGCAACTATACTACTATAGTAATGCAAAAAGGTCCCCAGATCTTCCATAAGTAAAGTTAAATCAAGAGTGGCACTCAATTTTTTGTCACATCAGTAGACCCATTCTAGCAAATTTGGTGCTTGGTAAAGGAGATTTGTCTCCACTGAAGTGATTTTCTAATTATGTCATGCACACCGAGTCATTGACTAATACTATTAATCAAAGTACTTTGCTGTAGTTTTTTGGTTTTGCCTCACCCTATTCAGGCTTGAGTCAAGCAGGACCACTAAAAGTGGTTTAGTTTTCTTACTGAGTTTTAATGCAACTAATTCCTAAGACTCAAAACACTTAATATAGTTTACAGTAGTTTTTTCAGTTAAAATAAAATAAAATTCTATTTATTGTAACAAATATCACGCAAATCCAGGTGATTCTTATCAGTTGATACAGTCACCACAAGAAATTAGTATCATGAATTAATAGTAATTAGGAATGGCAGTTAAAATATGATAAACAAAGACTTCAAGAAGAAAATTCTTATGAATCAGACAGAATCTAAACTTGGTACCATCTTTTTGCACAATTGAACAGTATAAAATATGCTATTCATATAAATATAAAGTCTACCATACAAGAAACATGACTCAGATCCAGCTTTATTATAATAGCAAATCCAAGTGATTCTTACCAGTTGATACAGTCACCACAAGAAATTAGTATCATGAATTAACAGTAATTAGGAATGGCAGTTAAAATAAGATAAACAAAGACTTCAATAAGAAAATTCTTATGAATCAGACAGAATCTAAACTTGGTTCCATCTTATTGCAAAATTGAACAGTATAAAATATGCTATTCATATAAATATAAAGTCTACCATACAAGAAACATGACTCAGATCCAGCTTTATTATAATAGCAAATCCAAGTGATTCTTACCAGTTGATACAGTCACCACAAGAAATTAGTATCATGAATTAACAGTAATTAGGAATGGCAGTTAAAATAAGATAAACAAAGACTTCAATAAGAAAATTCTTATGAATCAGACAGAATCTAAACTTGGTTCCATCTTTTTGCACAATTGAACAGTATAAAATATGCTATTCATATAAATATAAAGTCTACCATACAAGAAACATGACTCAGATCCAGCTTTATTATAATAGCAAATCCAAGTGATTCTTACCAGTTGATACAGTCACCACAAGAAATTAGTATCATGAATTAATAGTAATTAGGAATGGCAGTCCCAAAAAAAATAAAGGAATGGCAGTTAAAATAAGATAAACAAAGACTTCAATAAGAAAATTCTTATGAATCAGACAGAATCTAAACTTGGTTCCATCTTTTGCACAATTGAACAGTATAAAATATGCTATTCATATAAATATAAAGTCTACCATACAAGAAACATGACTCGGATCCAGCTTTATTATAATAGCAAATCCAAGTGATTCTTACCAGTTGATACAGTCACCACAAGAAATTAGTATCATGAATTAATAGTAATTAGGAATGGCAGTCTCTCAAAAAAAAAAAGGAATGGCAGTTAAAATAAGATAAACAAAGACTTCAATAAGAAAATTCTTATGAATCAGACAGAATCTAAACTTGGTTCCATCTTTTTGCACAATTGAACAGTATAAAATTTGCTATTAATATAAATATAAAGTCTACCATACAAGAAACATGACTCAGATCCAGATTTATTATAATTAACAAATGCAATTTTACCAATGTTACAAGTATTGTACGATTCGAGCTGCCGATACGAATCGTTGAGTGAATCGTTTTGGTTCTTGGATCGCATCATGAATCACATGAATTGGACCTGAATCACAAGAATCACGACCTAGAGAAGAATCACACAATTCTTGCGTAGATTCTGCAAGGGCTCAGAAGGAGTTGCGGCTCCCTTCCACTCGTCCAAAGGCTCTCGCAGTTGGAGTGGCGCTTCTGACAGCCAAAATCACAGAAAATGGCAGCTGGAGTGGGCAAATTGCGCCACACCCACACTGCAATTCTAAATTCTGTTCCCCTTATGACTGCGCTTGTATCTAGTGGGTCAGAGAACATAAATGACTGGATTCACAACCCTAACACTAAACGGCAGTGCATTGTAATTTTATTTTTTTTTTTTACTTTAGGAACTTTTTGTGTTTTAGTTGTAACACATGTCAATTTTAACTTTTAACTATTTATATGATATTTAAGTTTTGTCTACTATCAAATAAAAATTATTTAATTGATGTGATAATTATTTATATTTAAGTCACTGTTTAATATCTTTTTATCATAAAACCTATCTATTATAAAACAGTAAAATCTTTTATAGTTTGAATCACTAGGGTCAGCCTAGTGGTGAAAGGATTGAAGTAGTATGCACAAGGTCTTACGTTCGAACCTTGTTGCTGTCATTGCAATTCTTATAGATAAAAAAAGAATTTGTTATAGATTTTCAAATATGAACATTTAATTAATATATAATAAATTTAATAGCAGAATATTTATTATAAATTTTAATATTATTCTGTTTTAGCATAACTCATGCATCCCATGCTCCTAGAGTTGTTTTATAGTTATTGATCATGAATATGTATTTTAATGTCTTTGTTAGTGGCATATGCTATGTTTTATTATTGAATCATTGATCATGAATCTTACAATTCAATTTGTGATTCAGAAATTGGGCCTTCCAATTCATTATTTGATTCCGATTCTACTACCATGAATTTTACATTAAACATAATCAGTAAACATAGACTCTGTAAAGAGTTGAGGAATGGGATCTGAATATTAATAACAAGAAATCCTAGACCTAGGGACTACAAATATAAAAATCTGTATGGTGTACCTGCAGAAGATGCCTTGGAGAATCAGGCTAGCTAATGGGACCTGCAACCTGGAAATGGTATGAACAGGCTTATCCTCAATTTTAAAAGTCATCCCAGAACACTACATTTGCATTGTAATCTGCATAACAGAGGCATTAACACAAAATTCAGGTGTGCTAGGCTGCTTGCCCTTGGGTAGTCGACCTTCAAAGGGCTATCATTAACAGCACAAGTCACTGCTTTAACAATAGATTTGGCTGCGCCACTCTTCTCAAATCCCATCAACTCCTGACCACCTTTTTCCTAACCAACTTGTTCCCGTTCTCACATAAGAAACCAGAATGCCCACCTCCAAATGTTGATGTAAACTGCAAGCAGATAGAAGAGGAAATCAACAAGGAAACACACAAAATATTTGAATTTCGAAGTAAATAAGGTATCTTGTGTTGATTGATAAGAAGCTAAACAGGGAAAATGGAACTCTTCATGTTCATACATTTTCAAGCCAAATAGAACATACCCAGAAAGACACCGCAAAAAACAGAGAGAATATTGTGCTTACCAATTGAGAGTAAGGAAAATAGTGAAAATAAATGATCAGAATTTGATACTAGCAGAGCAGAAACTTTAATGAGGAAAATTGAATGCATTAATGGGTAAAAATAGGAGATAAAAAAATTCAAATGCTGAAGCGTAGGACACCTATATACTTCATACATATATTTTTGTGCTAAATGCCCCTGAAGTCAACCCCTTTTTATGTAACTTTCTGATTAGAGAGAAATCACGAAATAGAAATTGCATAGATAAATTTATAGCTTCTACTCTTCTCGATTAAAGACTAGATAAACATTTTAAACATAGCTTTGTGATGTTGCAGGTGTAAACTATGGAAATACAGAGGAGACTAGGGAGTTCAGCAATAAAACTAAGACTTTTGAATACAATTGTTTGGAAAATGTGAGAACTCTAGGTTCATGTGTGTGGACACCAACTATATTATTGTTTTGCGAGTTGCAACTGTAAGCTACCAGAATCATGCACAGCAAGTCAGCAAGCTTTGAAAACAAGGCCTTCAAGTTGTTGGCATTGAATTGGGTTAATTTCTAGGCAAAAATATGCGGGCTTCTCTGAACTCTTGGATGATTTACCATTCAGAACACCATCATAATCGTAATCTAGGTTTGAATTTCATAGAAGCACATCATTCTGTGCTCTTTCCTGTACTCCCTACCACCTGGTAGTAAACAGTTTAGGGCTATTGAGCCACAATGGTCTAAACCCCATCAATAAGGGGCTTGGTTGACAGTCTAACATCATGATTAGACAGGCTTCCAAAATTGATAATTTGATATGAACCCACATCAAATAATTAAAAATTAATAGACTAAATTCACCAAACTTCAGCTCTGCAGCAACTCTTGGACTGCATTATCTCCTTCGTTAGCAGACAAGGAACGTACAAGCAACTCAACTGTGGTAGCATCTACTGGAAACCCTTTGCCTTTCATTATTTGAAGATATTTTCTACACCTTGAAATATCATATTTTCGCAACAGTCCCTGGACAAAGACATTATAAGAGCATTTATTAGGCAGGCAACCATTCTCTTCCATTTTCCTAAGCAACTCTTCAGCATCATCCATTAGTCCTTCTCTACACAGACCTTTAATCATTATGTTATAAGTATATGAATCAATTTTCAACCCTTTGTCCAGCACAGAAGAAAGAAGGTTCCATGCATCATTCAGTTTACCAGCTTTGCACATTCCATCAAGCACAATATTGTAAATCACAATATCAAGATCTAGACCACTCTTCTCCATCGCCCTAAACAACAACACCGCCTCAGAATCAAGCCAGCATTTAAACAAGCCATCCAACACAATGGCACAGGTCTGAAGACTGGGAACCTGTCCATAGTCTTTCATTGTAAAAAACAACTCCCTCGCAGCCTGCGGCTTTCTCACTTCACAAAACCCACCAATAAGACTGCTCCAAGTAAACACATCAGGCTCCATCCCTTCACCAACCATTTCACCCAACAGCCCCATAGCCTTATCCACCTCCTTAACCCTACACCACCCATGAATCAATGAATTATATGTCACAATGCTCGCCGAGCACCCCTCGCGAACCATCAAACCAAACACCCTCATCGCCTCCTCCATCCGGTTCCTCAAACAATACCCGCCAATCAACGAGTTATACGTCACAACATTCGGCTCCACCCCATTCCTCACCATGAAACCCACCACACTCTCCCCCCGCGAAACCAACCCCTCCTTGCAAAAACCATCCACCAAAATCGAAAACGTTTGCACATCCGGTGCAACCCCCTTCTCCACCACCATCTCATTGAACAAAGCCACACCCTCCCTCCACCCACCAAACCCTCCACACAAGCCCCGAATCAAGCAATTGTAAGTCACAACATTAGCCTCAACATCCATCTCACGGAACACCCTCAAAGCCTCACACACCAACCCACTCTTACAAAGCCCATCCAAGATGGCATTATAAACAACAACATTAGGCTCCAAATTCCTATCCAACATCCTCCTCAAGCACTCCAAAGCACCAGAAACATCCCCGATTTTACACAACCCATTAACCAACGCCCCATAAGTGCGTGCATTACACCTAAACCCTAAAGTTTCAATTTTTTCCGCCAACCTGAGCGCGCGGTTCACGTTACCTTCCATGCAGAGGCCGTTGACGACGGTGTTGAGCGTTACGAGGGTGGGCTCCAACGCGGTCTTGGTCATGAGGCCCAGAACGGCGAATGCTAGCGGTGTGTGGCGGAGGTGGCAGAGGCAGTTGATGACGATGTTGAGAGTGCAGACGTTGGCGGAGGGTGGTCGGAGGGAGTGGAGGATTTTGACGAGGGAAATGGCGGTGGCGTGGCGGTGGAATTTGGCGAGGAGGCCGAACAAGAGGTTGAAGTCTTGGACGAGGGGGAAGGGGGTTAGGGTTAGCATGGTGTGGAAGAGGTCGACGGCGGCGGCGGCGGAGGGGAGGGTGCGGATGGAGGTGAGGAGTTGGGTTCGAGTTGTGATGGGTGGTGGAGAGGAGGAGAAGGGGTGGGAGCGGGAAAGGTGGGAACATGCGAGCGAGGTTGCTCTTTGGATGTTTTGGAGCATTGAGTTAGGGTTGGTTACAGTTTGAGAAGAAGGATAGGGTTTGGAACATTGTGGTTTGGTAGCAAACTTCTATGGTGGTTATGTTTTGAGACGAAGGAACACGAAGGTGGGAGAAGGAACAATGCCCTCTGGTAGCGCCGGTTTCAACACTCAGGGTTAGTTTGGTAACTTACTTTTTTTAATTTTCTTTTAGTAATTTCTCTAATTATGTCTTTATACACTTGATATTTCTTTCCTACCTTTGTTAGACAATGTTAAAAAAAACATTAATCATATGGATTAGAAAGATTAAAAATTTCAACTATAAAAATTAAAATATTTATTTTAAATTATAGAAAATAAAAAAGATTAAAATATATAAGTATATAGACTAAAAATATTTATTTTAAATTATAAAAATAAAAAGGTAAAATAAAAAAATATTAGAAAAGTATTTTAACCTAATATAATTTATTGTAATATTTTTGTGAAAATCACATTTGATTCATAAAACAAATGGAGGCTAAGTTTGTCATGTGTCCTTTGTCTCAAAACATTTAAGATATAAGTTTAAATATATCGTTAGTCTATCAAATATAAGATAAGTTTATTTTTAATCTCGTAAATTTAAAATTGATATTTTTAATTAAGTAATTTGAAAAAATATTATTTTAATTCTTATATTCAAATTTTGTTAAAGAATATATTAAATTTATCACATAAAATTTATTTATGAGTGTCTTTATTAGTGAAAATTAATATTATCATATTTGACCCAGTAGGTGACTTGGTCAGGGTACTGGATTAGTGGGTCAAGAGGTCAAATCATTAAGTTACCAATTGACTTGCATGACTCAGTTTATATTAAAAAATTATAAATAATTGATAACATGTAAAATTTATGCTTTAGAACAAGTAAAAATATATTATAAAGTTTTCATGAAGAGAGATATTAAAATTTTCAAGATTATAGATACTCATTAAACCAGAATCAGAGTAATTGAACAACATCATAAAAAAAATTAAAAAAATTAAAAACACATGCACAAGCAAGTAGCTACAAAGTAACCTCCACTTAGTCCAACCAACAAATAATAAACAAAATAAAAAAAAATTAAATGTAGTTAATGATTCGTGCACTAGAGCAAGGTTGCATTGTCATGCAATGAGTAGAGATTTCAAACACATCGTTGTATGGGGTGAATATGATGAACACACTACACTAGCAAGATTGCACCATAGTTGTTGGAGTGTGCGACTACGAGAGAGGAGAGACAACAGGTGTTGCGTGGTGCGATTGGAACTGTGTGACGAAGGAGAGCAACAAATGGAGGAGATAGATGAATAGAGGAAAGCCACAAATGTTATATTACTCAAATAAAAAAAACAAAAAAAAACTCATTGACCTAATCAGGTCAACCAAACCCGTCGAGTTGCATTGGATCACATTAAGTTGAAAGCATCCCCAATCCATTGACTAACTCAAATTGGTTAAATGGTTGATTCTCGGGTCGATCGATTAGACCAGTTAGTCTGAGCAAAGTTTAATAACATTGATGAAAACATTATATTAAACTTAGTTGATACTATATAAATGTCTCAATTTATCACTTTTAGATATGTTATTAGTGATATGAAGAACTAAAACAACATTTTTGAAAATTACAAGACTAAAAATAACAATTTTAAATTTAAGAAATCAAAAATAAATTTATCCTAAATTTAAGAGATTAAAAACATATTTAAACCTAACTCTAACATATATGTATAAAATTGCATCTAAGTATCCGACATTTGATACTCATAGCTAAGCTTGTCCCCCGTCCTTTAAACATCATTTACTCCCCCTTCCTCACTTTCTTCTTCACTAATATCTACAAAAAGATCGTCCTTGTTGATCAATTTTCCATCTTGAACATTTTTCTCAACATGAAGTTCACCAAAGTCAATCCCTAGAGCAATCATTTTAACTTGGTGAACAACCTTGACAAAACCTTTATTATGTTCAATTACAACTTCACATTGAGTTTCAAGGAGTTCATTGTTTAGGTTTTCATTAACTAACTCAACAATTCAGATTCTTTTTTCAGGTCAACAATCTTTTATTACATTAATAGATATAACATCTTGACAAACTTGATTCTTTTCTTTTTGATGTCGTAAGCTTATCTTCAAGGGCTTTAATATTGCTTTCATATCTCCTAATTTTTTATTCAAACTCTTTATTGACCTCTTCTTTCACTTTAAGCTATACCCCATTCTTTATTGTCTTCAACTAATTTAGTGACTCCTCAATCTTAGTAGAATAAGATTGGTTAGCTTTGACAACAAATTGATATGTCTTTGTAGTCTCTTTTGGATTCTTTTTTATATCATTCAACTTAGAATTTGTCAAATTAAGTTGAGCATTTTCAACTTTCAATCTATCCATCTGAATGATATTCTTTTCCCATTTCTTTTTCCAATGATTTATTATTGCTATAAACCTTTGCAAAAAAACTTGTGTAAAATTTAATCTTGGAATTGGACCAACTTTCTCTATAATTGCTTTATCAGCAATGTAAGTATGATCTTCTTTATAAAATATATCTACAGTGAAACTAGCATTCCATAGTGAAGTCACATTGGAGGACATACTCACATGATCTAATCTTGTTAGAGGACGACTTGTATCAAATCTTTGATATATTGATCTTGGTCTAGTTGAAGGTTCGACTTGAGGAACAATAGGTTGGCCTTGAACATTTGGACATGAAGTCTCAAAAGTTGGTTGAGTTGTCAGTCTGACTTAAGAAGCTTCTACTCTAATTTGAGAATTTAGTGGTGGAAATTCAAGATTTGGTGATTGAATATTCTCAATTAAAGGTGAAACATGAAAATAAAAATGTATTAAGTATCAATATATTAATTAAAGGAATAAAATGTAAGATTAGTAAAATCATAAACTTGGAGGGTAAAATTGAATTTTCTTACCATTTCTTGTTGATTAATATTGGTTGTTGGAATCTTTGAGGTATTGATGTCATGCTCGACCTCAATATGATGACTATCATCTACCATGATCTTAGTAGTCGTTCTTTTCTTCCTTTGGCAAGGATGAAGATTACTTTAATCCTCCTGATCATCCAGAATGTCTGGATCTTTTGTGTTGAACTTGACTTTCAATTCACGCCATTTACTTCGACCCATGATCTTTACATATAGGGAAAAACACTATCAAATCTTGAGAAAAACAACAATGGCTAAAATGTGAATCATGTTAATAAATATCACTTTCTAAATCCTTTTGTAGATTTTTTGATTTGGAAAGGAAAAACACTGGTTTACTTTCTAGAGGCTGAGGTAATGGTTGCAATTTATCTATATCTTTCTCTTAAGATGAAGTCAGAATAAAACTCTTAGAACTAGTGAATTTTAAAGGTTGAGATTGCCAATAGGAAGGAAATATAGGCTCCCCATCTAGATTAAAAATATTATCTGATATAGGGTCATTGCAAATAGGTCAGACCCTAAAAAAATTTTCCTTAAAGTTTTTATGAGATTGGTAAAAGTTTGAAAAAATCCTCTTTTAGAGCTACCACTTAGTGAAACCCAACCATGTGGTGACTTTCCAAGTTTTAGTTCATAAAAATGCATAAACTTGATTAAGGATAATTTGATATTAAGACTAAACATAAAACTTGAAAAACACGAAAAACCCTAATTATTTGGATGTAATTGACTAGGGGCTACACTAACCTTTTTCAGAAATTCACGTTCAAAGGAAGAAAAAGGAGTTGAAACTCTGAGGTTTTTAAAAAAAAAATCAGTACACATAAGTATAAGGGGGAGAAGATGAACTTCCAAAATATACACGCTTTTCAGGTTGGCCAAGCTTAATGGATATTTGTCTAGAAAGAGAAGGTGAACAAATCGTCACTCTTTCTCGGAGTAAGCTTATATCAAGCAGAGTCCTACATCTACTTCTAAACTTAACAACAACACCACTTCCAGAAATGAGGATGTGAATATTTTATATTATTCCCTCATCTTTTTCTTTTCTTACTTTCATTTTCACATATGACCACCCTTTCAAATATTTCTTTCTCTTCTCTAACTTTACCCTTACCCTTATCTAATTTCTTAGGAACGGATAACCTAAGGGGGTTAGAGTGGGTGGGAAAAGGGGAAGAACCAAATTCTTTCTCTCCTCCCATACTAAATGTTCCTAAAATGGGAATAAAAGATATAAACTAGGAGGAGTAAAAATTTTATACATGGAATTATAGACAAATCTTGAAGAAATGAACTAACACTCTTCAAGTATCAACAATGGAAGATACAAAAGAGGAGGAGTGGGAATGATGAAGGAAAGAGGAAACAAGAAGGCATGAAATATGAAAGAGAGTATGAGTACAAGACACATATGTAGAGCGTGTAACAACAAAAGTTAATATTCACATATTTATAAGAGTGAGAAATCCCCAAGTAAAGTATCTATTATTATAGGGCTTTATTATCCCAAAGGGTTTTAGTGATGAAAAGACACACCTTAGAAATCTTATGGTCATGAGTAAATGGGAAAATGAAAAATTTCCTTTGAATGATTGTATCCCTTGAAATTTGAAATGTTTTCACCATTAATAATTATTAAAAATATTTATTACATATGACATGTACACGTGGCAAAAATACTTATTACATGTTAATAAATAGACCTCTTAATTTCACTCTTATAGAGCTTAGAGCTTGGAGCTCGGAGCTTAGGGTGCTTATGTACTAACCTTTCGATGACGTAACCTCGAATATATACTTCTATTACTAAGTTGACGTCCCAATCTCTAACTTGTATAATCTATATTAGTCAAGTCAGTATGGAAATTCGATACTTATTGGTATTTAACTTAGATCAGTTTCTTTATAATTATAACAATTATAAAACTGATAAAAATGGACAAGTACAACTAATAAGCAAAGAAGCATATATAACATAACAAACAAGAATATTTAGGAGACTAACTTGATTATCAGAATCATTTTTGCAGGTACCTTCACTACTTGGAGTGAAGATTGTCAATCCAATCCAACACCCATTCATAAGTACAAAGGAAGATCAATCGGGATAATCTCATCATCTAAGTTTATCTCTATAAGAATATACATTTCAAAATATATTTAAATATGAACAATTCGATCGTCTTTAAATTGTTATTCAATTTTTAAAAGATTTGATATAAAACATAGAAAGTAATATGAAATTATAATTCAACGATTAGATCGACAAATTTCACTTATAATATAAAGTATTGAACAGTGTAATAATTGGTAAAAGTTATATTTGTATCATTTGACCCCTTTCCAAAGGAACTATATTGTAATATATTAAGTGTCATCTTCACGCATTATAGTGCAATTGAAATTCTTGACTAGAGTAAGAAAGAAAATCAAGAGGAACTATGTTGCAAATTTGTCAATTTATTTAATGTTGGAAATTCTGTTTACTTCAAGGAAAAAATCATTTGTTTGGATATCCGATGATCCAAACTAAATTAAGCTGATCAACATCAAGTTGGTTTGGTTTGGTTAGACAACAAAAATTATGAAATTTGAACCAATTAAATTTAATTAATTTGTATAGGATTTTCACTCAAACTCGAACTAACTCGACTTGTGAACACCCCTACTTCCATCTAAGGGAATCCTTTTTGAGCTAGGTAGGACCATTGGACGACAAAGCTCTTCCTATGAATATTTCACACAAGTGCATATCTAGAAGTGTGTTGGGAACAAAAAAACTCCTTTTACACATAAGGATAAGAGAACACAAACAGGCCAATGTCATAAAGAAATAGAAAAAAATCACACAAAATTTATTTAACATAGTTCGATTTTCATGCTTATGCCCACAAGGATATTCATTATTTCAATATGCATTATATATATGTTCTTAAAAAGTTTCCCTTCAAGTTTTGTAGGTGAAATATGAAAACCCCTCCTCACAAGTTTTATAAGTGAAACTTGAAAATGTCTTTCTTCACAAGTTTTATGGATGAAACTTGTGAACCCTTCCCTTACAAGTTTAGAAACCCTTGCCTTACAAGTTTTATGAGTGACCCTTCTCTCATTTAAGACGGTGACCCCTCTATAAGTTGGGTGATTTTTCTCATCTCAAGACCATCTATTTATTGACCTAACATCTTAATTCTAAGAGAGAAAACAAATCTCTAAAATAAATATAATATATTTTAATTCTAAATAATATTATCAAAGAATCATTATCTTTTAAAATCTAAATAGCATCTTAAATATTTGAATTTAAAAATTTGAATTATTTTTCCATTAAAATCAAACTCAATAATTATTTTTGACTTAAATATGTTTTTAGTTTATCAAATTTAAGATAAAATTTATTTTGTTTTAAATTTAAAAATGATCTTTTTATTCATGTAATTTTAAAAAAATTTATTTTAGTCTTTATACTCAAATTTTGTTAAAATATTTGTCAAAATCTGTCACATAAAATCTACCGACTAATATATCTGTTAATGAAAATATCATATTAAACTCAGTTAATAGTGTGTAATTATCTCAATATGTCACTTTTAAATATTATTGATGACCTAAGAAATTAAAATAGGAACTTTTAATATTATAAAAACTAAAAATAATAATTTTAAATTTAAATAAGAAAAAATTATTATTAATAGATTAAAAATATATTTAAATCATATTTTAAAAATACATTAGGAAAGTAGTGAATAAAATTAATAAATTCATTGATTTTCACAAAGTCAAAAATGGCGTGCTCAACTTTATAGAAAGTTTCTGTCAATATAAAAAAAACTTTATAAAAAGTAAAAAATGACGTGCTTCCACCTAAGAGATTCGCATACGATGCTTCCACTGTTTTTTTTTTTATTATACAACATTGTCGATATCTTTATCTGTCATTAGTTTATTGTTATGGTTTGCATCATCAAACTTAATCGCTATTTAGTGTGGGAGAGAAAAGAGAAAAAAATTATAAACTATGGGTTAAAATACTTTTTTTTAATTATTTTTTATTTTATAATTTTACTTACTTTATTTTTAAGTGGTATAAGTTTAAAATAGATTTTTTTTTCTAATTTTATACTTATTGTTTTCAATCATTTTTATTTTCAATCTTACAAAATTGAAGATACTGATACTATGTCAACACAAAACAAAATTTTTTACAAAATAAGTAATTAACGATAAAATAAAAAAATTTAAAAATTATAAGTATAAAGATTAAAATTTTTTGTCTTAAATTATAATTTAAAAATAATTAAAAAATAAATATAAAAATTAAAAAATTATTTTAAATTATAAAGATTAAAGGATAAAATGATTAAAATTACGTGGAGTAAAAATATATTTCAACCTAAATTATAAATTCAGTGGTTGATGAGAGTCTTGAGATGTTTCAATATCATTGTTCTTTATTTTATGCAGAACCAGAAAAAATAAACAAAAGAAGCTTCATCAATGTAGAGTTTCATTCTTGTTTGATTTTGGAGAGGCAACACTCTTCCATTCACAATCATAGTAACCTTTCTACTTTAGATCTTATGGCTATGAAATCATGTTCTCATGCATCTAGCTATGATGTGCTCCTCAACTAAGAAGGAGAGATTCAACCATAACATGGAAAAATTGGAGAAATGGAAGATGGATCTGCATCAAGTAGCTAACTTGTTAGGCTTTCAACTCAAACATGGGTACCACAACTTACCAATCTTGTTTTTACTTTATAATTTTATTGGATTAAGTTTTACTTGTCTAATGATTTAGAGAAGAAAGAATGCGTGTTAAACTTGACAATATTGGTATCAAGACATGATGCATGCAATGCTTTTAGTTGACTTGATCAAAACTTTTGTTTGAAACAGAAATGGATCCAACTACAAGATTAATGATGCAGTTCAACTGGGGTCACCGGTGCAAGATCTAAGGAAGGTTTTGGATGTTGGTTCTGTTGATGGTGTACACACGATAGAGATCTATGAAATAGGTGGAATAGGAAAAACAACAATTGCTAGCAATTCACAATTTGCTTGCTAACCATGGCTCATGTTTTCTTTCAAATGTTAGAGAAAAATCAAACAAACATGGTTACAACATCTCCAAAGCATCATTCTTTTAAAAATACTTGGAGAGAAGAAAATTAAGTTAGCAAGCGAGAGCAACAAGGAATTTAAAAAATACGGTATAAGATCAAGAGAAATAAGGTTCTCTTGATTCTAGATGATGTTGGCGTGCATGAACAATTACATGCAATTGCTGGATGAGTTGATTGGTTTCCTGGCAGCAGAGTCATCATCACAACTCGAGACAAACAATTGCTAGCTAGCATCTTATGAGGTTAAAAGAACATGTCAGATGAAGAAATTGAATAAGAACCATGTTCTTCAATTGCTGACATGGAAAGCTTTTAAAAAGAAAATAGGTCTTGAACCGTGTAACAACTTGAGCTTCTCGCCTTCCATTGACTTTGGAAGTAATAGGTTCTAACTTGTTTGAAAAAAGTATGAAGAATGGGAATTGCTATCAAACAATACAATAGAATTCCTAATAGTCAAATCTGGAGATTCTTAAAGTAAGCTTTGACGTTACGGAGGAAGAGAAGAAATGTGTTTCTTGACATTGCTTCTTGCTATAAAAGATATGCCTTCATAGAAGTTAATTTTTAAAAATCTTGTTTCATTTGTTGTTTTTATTTTCTTTTTCTATAGTGTTTATGGAGAAATTTACATTGCATGACTTATTGAGGGTATGTGTAAAGAATTTGTCTAGCAGAAATCACCCCAAGAGTCAGACAAGCACAGTAAAGTATGGTTACTAGAAAATATAATTAAAATTTGAGAAGATAAGTGACTCATGAATTGTTTGGTTACTTATCTTGATTTATATTTGTTGACTATCATATGTTCACATCATAGTTTTTTGATTTTTTATTTTCTATAATAAGAAACTTTTTTTCTCTAAACATGTGTATTAAAGTCTGACATATACTTGTACTGTGTTGATTTGTGTCTTTGGCATTTACTGGAACTAGTGAAGTTGAAATCATATGTCTGGATTTTTCCATATTTGCCAAAGAAATAATAGAATGGAATAGAAAATTATTTGTCTTGTTATTGGATGTATCGACATCTCTCGATGGTTTAGTCCCAGGGTATTCATCAATGGCAGTAAATGTTCCCCTGATAGTCTCTGCAACGTAAAATTTCAAGATAATCTGTATGAAGTGCCTTTAGAAAATGAATGATGGAACCATGTTAAAGTTACAATTACGTGTTCTTAAGCAAAGACCAACCACAGTTCCTAAAGCAATTGGAATTCATGTATTTAATCAGAAAAGTAACAGAGGATATTCAATTTGTTAAACCTTGTTGGAAGAGAAAATTAGACTATGATCTCACTAGTTAGGAATCACAAAATCGCGGGTGGCTAAATAGTGTGTTTGTGGACATGGAGGAGATTTCATAGACACAATTTGTGCAACAGCAACAATTTATAGTTTTATGGTGTTGTCTATTGAACTGGGCATGTAGCCATTTACATTTCTTCTTACTTAATCAATGCAGTCAATGTATGATAATGATTACTTGGGGTTCAAATTCAATGGAGTCAAAACAGATAAGGGGCACCATTAATGTCAAATGTGAATTATCTTTTGGCATGCTGTATCACATTAACTGATTTGATTTGCACTTATTAGTTTGATATGTATAAATGGAACAAAAGAAAAGTACTAGGACTAGAGTGCTCAAATGAAATGAGGAACAGGTCACCGTAGACACTGCAGCACCTGGAGCAGTGTGAGCATAGTTTTAGTTGGCATATGCCTTGAAGTTCCATTAGTTTTGTGAATGAGTTGTAAATATTTCAGACAATGCATTATAAATTCAACTCAAACTTTTTCACTTCTGTATGTTGAACTTTTATCTGCTGGTTGTGAATTGTGATAACTGATAAATAATTGATCAGGAAGAATATTGACTTAGACCAGTTAAATTTTGTAAACATATGCTTAGGTTTTAATGCGTCCGTAAAAGGTGAGGTTCATATCGATTTTCTGATGAGATCCAATTCCATACTTGTCAGCATGTCAACAATGATCATGAACCTGAAATTGTTCTTCATTGTTTTGTCTTTACAATTAATTGTGTAGCAGTAATGTCAAGCATTGTTACATGACAAAGCATTGTAAAGGATTACTTATCGGGAAAAACTCAAGTCCCACATCGACTAGAGATTAGGCAATTGAATAGTATATAAGTAGAAAGCAACCCTCACCTTACAAGCCGGTTTTGTAGGGTTGAGTTAGGCTTAATCCACTATTCTAACATGGTATCAGAGTCATTTAGATCCACTTTAAAAATAGGTCACCCACCATTGATGCATGCCTCATAAGCATGAGGGGGGTGTATTGGGAAAAACCCAAGTCCCGCCAATCCTAGATCATTAAAAAAGGCCATCCACCATTTATCCACGTACCAAGCTCAATAGTGTTGGACGTGAGGGGGTGTATTGGGAAAAACTCAAGTCCCACATCGACTAGAGATTAGGCAATTGAATAGTATATAAGTGGAAAGCAACCCTCACCTTACAAGCCGGTTTTGTAGGGTTGAGTTAGACTTAAATCCACTATTCTAACATGGTATCAGAGCCATTTAGATCCACTTTAAAAATGGGTCACCCACCATTGATGCATGCCAAGCTAGTTTTGTAGGGTTGAGTTAGGCTTAATCCACTATTCTAACATGGTATCAGAGCCATTTAGATCAACTTTAAAAATAGGTCACCCACAATTGATGCATGCTTCATAAGCATGAGGGGGTGTATTGGGAAAACCCCAAGTCCCGCCAATCCTAGATCATTAAAAAGGGTCATCCACCAGTTATCCGCGTACCAAGCCCAATAGTGCTGGACGTGAGGGGCTGTATTGGGAAAAAACAAAGTAACAAATAGACTAGAGATTAGGCAACTGAATAGTATATAAGTGGCAAGCAACCCTCACCTTACAAGCCGGTTTTGTAGGGTTGAGTTAAGCTTAATCCACTATTCTAAGATGGACTATTCTAACATGGTATCAAAGCTGTGACACCCTTCTACCTCATAATAAATAAGTAACAACAATAAGAATAATTCAATAAATTCTTTAAAGACATGAGGAGTTAAATTTAATGACTATGAAGACAATGATTTAGGTCAAGAAATTGATGTGCAGTACAGCTTGATGACCTAGCACTTCATAAATCAAGTTTTGGAGTTCATAATACTAAAGTTTGTGATGTTCATGATCTTTGACAATTATCATATGACTAGTGCAACCATTTTCAATAAGCCAAGTATTCGATTCATGTGGATTGCATTTTTGAGATGCCATAAATAAATACTCATCTACATCATCATTTTTTTCTTCAATCACATTTGACTATTTTTCTAGTTGTTGTTAAGACCGATTATTCTTTAATTTGCAATATTTTTCACTATGACCATTTTTATTGCAAAAATTATAGTGAAAAAGATGTTTATCTTTAAACCAACAATCTTTTTTAGCATAGTTGGTTCTTTATAATGAGAACGAGACAAAATCTTCTTTTCTCGAAGAACCTTCAACTTTTCCTTTGTTCTTATTGAAATTCTATGACTTTCCAAAATTCCTTCCATTGTGCTTTGCTCAAAATGCACCTTCAACAACTTCATTACTTCTAATGGAGACTCTTTGTGCGTGAAGCTTGCTGGTCAATTCAATAACTGTGAGATTTTTCAAATCACAAGGCTCTTCAATTGTAGAAATCTTGGCTTCAAATCTTTCAATATCGAAACCATGATTTTTTCAACAAATCTTTTGATATGTAAATGATGTTTCACCAAGAAATCACATTTAGTTCACAACATTCATTAACATGTCAGAATAATCTTTGACAGATTCATTATCCTCCATTTTTATCAATTCAAATTCTTTATTTAATGTGAGAAGTCTAATAGATTTGACTTTACTATTGCCTTTAAATTCATCTTAAATCTTGTCCCACACTTATTTACGTGTTTCCAAGTCCATAATTTTAGTAAAAATACTGTAAGTCCTACATGTAAGCAAGCGACGACTTTATCTTTCTTCAGCTTCTCCTCCTCATCATAAACTTTAATTTGTGCAATGGTTGAATTTTCTCTCAATTGTGGTGGATCAGCTTCAGAAATTACGACATTCCAAAATCTTGAGATTTTAAAACAAATTTCATATTAACAACGACCAAAATATGATAATTTTCACCATTAAACAATGAAATTACAGGATGAATTGGTGGAAGTAGACATCCTTACAACAAAATTCCCCCCTCTTTTAACACCTTATGAAACCAAACTTATTAGATTGAAAGATTAAGACTTAAATTTATGTATATTTTTTGACAAAAAAAGTGGGATAAAATAGTATTGCAAATTTATTGCGATTCTATTGCAGAAATTGTGAGTCGTTGCGATTACGGGCAAAACCTTGTTTCTACCACAAAATGATAATTCTCTCATGACTTGTGTTGATATTGAAATATTCTCTAGAGGCATTACCTAAATGGCTTTTGTACTTGTATAAGGATACACCAATGATCTTCTTGTATTCTGAAGGTCGAACGAGTGTTCTGAACGAGTATTCCGATCCAACGTGAGTAGACGGGTTTGTACCTGCAAAAGGCACTCCGATGCTCAAGTCAGCACAAGCACGGAAATCTAGAGTAATTAATGAACAGTGATGTTACCTTTTGACCTGAGCTATTTATACTGACAATCGTGGGCCCTGGACCTTATGGGCCCTGTAACATACTTACCGTATTAGGTAATACTTCTTAATCAGCTAATTAACCCTTAATCATTTATTAAAGATAATTAATAAAGATAAGCCGATCCAGGTGACCGATTGGCAATCGGCCACCTGGTTCGGCCATTCGGCGGCCGATAAGAGGGTGGCTGAACGCCCCTACCCGTACA